TTAAGCACCACAGTGAGTTCTTGTTTTTCTCTAGAATCCTTAAGTGAACGAGTAAAGATTACAATTGTGGCAAAATGGCTCCAGGTGCATGCACATCCCACACTAGTTAACAAGCTGACATGTAAGCTAAAACTGGTATTGCTGTTGCAATACTAGTTTTACTTCATTCATTCATGAAAATGTTGTACTGTCTAAAATAGTAACAAGATGACTGATGCTGTTTACTTTACCTGTCAGTGGCTGATCGGTGCACAGAGTACTTGAATACCCACGTTTTGTCTTGTTTAAAATTAGAGCTAAGCAAAAATCAATAAGATGGCTATAACTAGACAGTAAAGGAGGAATTCATCGTCTGTGATGGGAATACCTCCTTAGAAAACCCAGAGCTAAACAAAACAAATGTTAAGAAGCTTCAGCCGGAGGCAAGCCTTCTCACAGAAATTAAAGCACCTGACTCTGAGCCTAGCTGAGAACTTGACGTTGAAAGCTAATTTGTAATAGGTCTCAGATGTTCCAAACTTCTGCTCTACAACCTGATAACATAAAGAGAATTCCGTTATGTTAATAACATAACATAAAGTCTCATTGCCCTCATAAGACATGTAGTAGCTACTGGATATGTTCTGGATGACTGGGGGGAAACTGGAGACCTGTTTTGAATGGCTGAAGCGTCCAGTCCAACCAGTGCCACTACTCTGTGTCTAGGTGAATGCTGATGACACAGCGCTCAGGTTGATGGCAAGAGTAATCATAAAATAAGTGAATATATAACTCTGTGTTGAATGTCTCTCTAAAAGCCTTTTTCAAAAGATTTCAGCATTAATAAATGAATATGTATGCAGGAAAGCAGCAGAAGTAAAGCAGGGTGATAAGGATGTATCAGGATCTCAGGTAAAGTTCTAAGTATGAATTATAAAGAGCCATCGGGTATTAAAGTCAGTCTTTGGATCGTCAGCACATACAACATTTTAAAGGTCACTGTAAGAAATCTTGAGTTTATTGTGGGGAAAAAGCATTTTTCTCATATTCGTATTTTTAGTACATGACATTTTTGCATGGATCATACCAATACATCACTTTATTAATCACAGGAAACCCAGACATCAAGTAACAGTGGGGAAGGCTGAGGAGGTAGAAACTCATTTAATGTCTTCAATGCATTCTGCAATTGATCATCTGCTGTTATGTAAATTATCCCATTTAGCATGTGTGTATGCAAAGACTATATAAACATCAATTATCTATCTATTTTGATGTAATTTAATAACACAGCGTGCAATTGTAGGGGGTTGAACTCATTTTGTAAGACCTGAAACCAAATTTTTTAACTAATTAATTAATAAAGTAATTTAATGCTGTGTGGGGAAGGGTGAATTTTTAATTTTTTTAAGAGAAGTAATAAACTTTTTCGATTTAAAATTTAATAATGCACAAAAAACTTCATGCACAGTGTTGTGTAATACTGCCTCTGTGTGCACAATTTTACATTGAATATTTCAGTAACAGTGGTTATACAATTGGATAATGCACAGGGGAGAGAGTCTATTAAATTAAAGTATGCGCACTCAGTTATCAGCACTGTTACATGTGCTTGCATGTGTTTATATAATCTGCAAAGCTGTTTCTATCAACTTCACTGCTGTGGTTTTTTTTAGAAAGTTCCATTTCTTTTTTATGATGCTAATTTCTGTTAAAATAGCTGCCCTAACCCACACTGTGAATTTTTAATCATATGTCAAAACCACCAATTATCTAACATTTACATAATAATTATATTATGAGTACCAATTTGGCAGTCTGAGAACTGAGTTTTTATCAGTCACATGGCATCAGTCAGGATGGTTTTCCTCTCAACAGGAAAACACAAAATGTGGATTTGTCAGCGCTACAGCAAAAAGTAGATTTTAATATATGTTGATGTTAACAACTGCATTCAGTAAAAAAGTTCGGGTTCAGTAACAGGCTGCGCTTTAATGTGATCGAGAAAACGACATTAAAGCGTAACTCTAAACGAGCATCATGTCCATTCGTGTGGTTGTCTTTTTCATCTCGTTTTCTTTTCCCACCTCCTCGTGGTTACTTCACAGTAGGCGACAAGCAGTAATGAGGAAGGAGAGGAAACAAGTGCAGTACAAGGAAACAAGATGCAAGCATTCAGTCAGCCAGGGCAGTTTATTGCTTCACTGCAAGCAATTTGTCAGTGTGTGTCCATAGCTTGCACTAATGTGGAGGAGCTGTAGACGATTAACGTCTAGAGCAGCAGATTGTGTGGTTCAAAAACAGCGCCAGAAGGTTTTGATTATTAGCGTTGAGGAATAGTAAACTACACAGGATTAAACTAGTACTTTACTACCTGTTTGATTGAATACCCGCCCCACCTGGACTAGTTCCTGGATGTAACCAATAGGACATCATCTGCAGGGTCTAGGACTGTGGTCAGTACTTTGTTAGGGTGATGTTGAAATGTGTGTGACCATGTTTGAACAGGAGACTGGCATTATAAGTTCAGGTTGTAGAGTGTATGTTAATTAGTGTTGAGTAACAAATCAAGTAAAATATTAGAGTTTCCCTCAACAAAACTGGAGCACAGAGTTCATGGATTTTAGTATAATTAACCACACTGAAAGTCAGGTTTATTTGTCAGATAACTGCATAAAAAATGCATCAAAAGCAACCAACACCAGAGACATGAAACAGAGATCCAGTGTAGTAGCTGAAAACCAAGCCAAGTGTTGCCCAGCAGACAGCTAGAGGCTACAGCTGCAGTGTCTATATTCTCCTGTCATTGGACATGACCACACCCTTTTCTCCCTACTATAATTAGAAGGTTAAAAGAAAAACATCACAGTCTCTACAATCACTATAAAGGAGAAAAATGGCAGCAGAGACCAAAGGGTTTTTTGTTGTGGGTAACAAGCATGTTTATTTCTGCTGTAATTTTTTTTGGCATATTAATGTGGGAGCCTATGAATGCAGATTCACTTTTCAAGCCAGCGTCAAGTGGACAGCTTTTGGCAGGTGTGCAGCTTCAGTTTTGTGCACCCAAGAGTTGCCAGTTGGTGAATGGTAGTTTACAAAGCTTTCGAAACAGTTTCATCAATACTAATGTGATTGTGGTCAGAAAGAAATGGTACTTTCATGGGAAATTGATTAGCGAGTGAACTATAGGTCTTTTATTTAACTGCATGAAAGCACTTTGAGGAGCAGGCACAGACATGTCATATGCTCTCAAAAGGATCAGTTCTTTTGGGTGTCACACGTGAACAATGATGTTGCACTGTCACGACACACTTGCATGCACACGTACAGAGAACGGCCATTTATTAGGTACACCTTTTGAACTGCTTTTTAACCCAAATGCATTGAGTTGCCACTGATTGGTTGATTAATCTCGATTTCTGTTGCAACATTCAGATGGCAGAGTCAGCATTTAATCCAAACAATGTGAAAGAATGGATCCACCCTGCCTTGTATCAACACCTCAGGCTGGTAGTGGTGGTGTCATGGTGCAGTTGATATTTCCTTGGCACATTTTGGGGCCTTGGTACCAACTGATCATTGCTACCTCAGTACCTTTACTGAGTGTGTCCCTCCCTTTATGGCAGTGTAACCATCATCTGATTGCTAATTCCAGGACATATAGAACCACAAAGATCAAAACTTATACAGTATATAAGCTTATGATGGTGTTAACATATAAGCTGCATGCACACAGCTCCACACTGTCACATCCTTCATGGTTTGTTTTGAGAGGCTAATGGACTGAAACGATTTATATTTTATGCATTTGAATATGACTCTGTCTGTTCTGTACCCCTTGTTCCCTCTGGCTTCTAGCTAGCTTTGGAAAGGGGCAGTTCATAGAACTTTCTTTGATTACAGAAAAATGTATCTGAATGAGCATAGCGAGCTTTTGAATTGCTTCTTTTAATTAGAACACTGAAAACTCTTGAAACAAAACTGGAGGAACACTTTAGAGTGACGCAATAGGAAGATAGCTGTCAAAGCGAGTCAGTAAACACAGTGAGTTATCTTGGTTCCACACAAAGGGAAGGAACATCAGTAGGGATTAAAGCTGCGAGTACAAACCTTCAACAAATCTGACATCCAGCTCCCGCTGTGAAGCAGACTAGGGTGACTGCACCAACACTTTTGTGCTTCACCCGGGGTCACCTGCCAAAGACAGCCTCACTCCACTGCTTCACTAAGCTACTCTCTTGTAGCTCAACACAATCCAAAGTGGTGTGCGCAGCCAAGGCTCGGCGAGTTGCCGGAATTTGCATGTGAGGCGCATTCACTGTCGGCTTGCATTACAGCTGATATCCATTCTCATTGATTCCGACTTCTTCTCACATTTACATTTATTCATTAGGAAGACTCTCGGCTCCCTTCGCTCCCGTGCAAGATGTCTTAGCTTGAGCTTACTTGGTGTAATGCGCTGACAGCATGCAACAAGAAGTAAACAAGAGGATACCGGTGTCCCTTCTTATCCACAGGAATAACATACTGTTAAAGGAGATGTATTCATCAGAGAAAAAGGGTGGTAAAGAAAGTGAAGGGTTCAGGAGGCTGTACAAGGGGGTGTGTGGGAGGAGAAGAGAAAAAATGGTCGTTCACTTTGGTTTTTACTCCAAGACATTGGAATTAGTAGAGGCCTTAGGTGTCTGCTTAACTTAACAGTCTTTGTTAGTCAGTGGTATCAAACATAGCAGTGCTGAACTATATTAAAACATAACCAGCTTGGCTTATTATTTCAGCACAACTGTTTGTGTAAACCTTACTCAAACCACCTTTGACTTCCATACACCCCCGCCTACTCACTGGATTGCATAATTGCTGTGATTTGTTTGCTTTCCCTATCTACAAAACTCCACACTTCATGTTGCCTAATAGGATTACATATCATGAAATGGAAAAAAGTTGCATCCATTTGTTTCCCCTCGTAATGAAGAACCGGGTCTTGCTATTTCTCACCTAACCTGTTTTTGTTCTCGCTGCAGGTGTTATGTTGATGACAAAGTCTCCAAGGTGGCTTGGCTCAATAGATCCAACATCATCTTTGCCGGCCAGGACAAGTGGTCCCTGGACCCCAGAGTAGATCTGGTCACTAAAGGACAGCTGGAGTACAGCCTGCGCATACAAAAGGTAATGTTGACAATAGAGATTTAAAAGCTGAACTGAATTATTGTGCAAAACTGATTCAACCAGAGCTGAGTTGGGTTGTCATTTGCATTTAGATGTGGAAGAGAATTTCTTTTTTTTTAGTTTCAGGGATGTTATTCAACAAGTCATGAAACACAACCTTATTACACACACACTTTGACTTAAATTTATTCTTTTTTTAGCAGCAGATGTTGTTAAATATTAATCTATTCATTTATTCATTTATTTATGCAGCAGGTTCAGTCAGAGGGACTTTTTTTAAACTACATTCTTAATTTTTGATTTTTCACTGTCTGCATGCTTTTACAAGTATAAACATAAGCAGTGACGGGATGGGAAGACAGGAGTGTTTTCACATCCCCTTCAAAAAAAATCTTTCCTAGCATAAATTAGCGCTGAAGAAGTAGTTTGACATATTGGGAAACTTGGTTGCCAGCTAAATATGAAACTGGAGCCGGAATTCATTTTATTTTAGCATAAAACAAATGGTAAATGGCCTGCATTTGTATAGCGCTTTACTAGTCCCTAAGGACCCCAAAGCGCTTTACACTACATTCAGTCATTCACACACACATTCACACACTGGCAATGGCAAGCTACATTGTAGCCACAGCTGCCCTGGGGCGCACTGACAGAGGCGAGGCTGCCGGACACTGGCGGCACCGGGCCCTCTGACCACCACCAGTAGGCAAACATGGGGTTAGTATCTTGCCCAAGGATATTTGGCATGCAGCCAGGAGGCAGCCTGGGATCGAACCACCGACCTTCTGATTAGTGGCTGACTTGCTCTGCCACCTGAGCTACAGCCACAAAGACAGAGTAAAGGGGCTAAGCATTAAAAATCTACTTATTCCATCAACTTATTCATCTCTATATTGGAGATACTTTCAAATAGAAATATTTATTTTAAACTTACCTTATTACTGTCAGCATGACAGAAGGGCAGAACATAACATGTAGTGTATATAGTCTCAAATGTAAAATTTGGAAAGGCTATAGAGAGCAAGCAAAGCAAAGCTACATACAACTGCAGAGGTTATACAAAGTGCAAGACTTGGCATAAGTGACGGGCATTTGCATTCTGAGTCCCGAGTGTGGTTCGCTTTAGGCAACGAAAGCAATGTTGTTTGAATGACAATGAGGTAAACACATCCTGCCCTGTTCTTCAAGTCGCTTAGCCAAGACAACAATGGTGTGCATAACCATGGACACATCAAAATCACAAAATTTTTTTTATGATGAGATTGCATTATAATAGGATAAAACACATTTTGTTGATTTACTCAGGAAATCAACATTTTGGACTTTGCCAAGTCCATTAATTCACAACATTTCCTCATTATGTTAATGGAAAACATAACCTAGGCTCCAATACATTTATTTCCAAACATATTTGCTGTTTTGCATTCCTAATATCTAAAAGTAATTTGCATGAGACAGAGTTGCTCTGCTATTTTATGGGGACATGGATAGGGGTGACTGGCGGTGTGGCCATAAATCTGACATTTTTAGAATCTGAAGGGAGAAAAAAGCACACATTAAACTACAATAAAGTTCATATGCCTTCCCCGCAACAATTTCAGCTGAGAATAAAACTGATGGTCTGTCAATTTTTTCAGTTTCTTAATGCCAGCATTTTGTACTTCATTCAAAACAAACAACAAAAAAACCAACTATTATTTAGTCATTTCAATATCACAACTGTTTGTAAGTGCTTTCCTCGATCCATTTCTTTAATGGGGCTTACAAACACTATTTCCTGTCCTGTTTTAATGATTCTACTTTCAAGTCACCTAACAGCATTGACATTTAATATGTAATATAATATATAAAATGTAATGTAATAAGTAAGTGAAATAGTCATGGTAACCACATTTAAACAGACTTAAAGTATGAATAAGCCGAAACAAAGTACTTCAGAGTTTGCAATGACAAAGCAAAAATGATATTTAAGAGGCAGAAAAATATTCAGTGAAGGGATCGTTCAGGAACCTTTTCTACTTTCACTAAAAGCAACAATATATATAAACAAAATATATGAAAAATGAAATGAATAAAAGTAATCTCATAGTTATGTAACAAATATTTGTTTGGTTTTTATTGGTTTGATGAGAAAATTCTGATAGTGGTTAATCAGTGTGCAGTTCTTGGTCTTTCATAAATACTTTCTTTGAGTGAAGTGTAATTCAGATTAAAGAGGATGTCAGTTTAAAATGACTCAGCATTTTTGTGACATGGGAAGTGACTTGCTTTTTTGTTTTTAGGAGAAATTACAAAAGACAACAATAACAATCACCACATGCAAAATCTCTCAATCCCTAATTCCCATCCAAACTTAAATCCGGGGCTGCCCCTGATTTAAGTTTGGATGGGATTGAGGGAATTTGGAGTAAGGATTAGTCAGACACACAGACTGCTCCACAATTACAGTAGCAGGATAAGGAAGGAGGGAACTCAAGCATTGTGGGGAACAGCAAAATACAACAAAAATACCAGTCATACATCATGGTTTCTCACTCTCAGGGCTAATATATGCTCAGATAGCTATTTATCTTGGTAATCTCTTTTCATTTGAATCTTGCTGTATTGTCATAAAGTCTGTATCAGGCTGTGTGCATGCCTGTGAACTCTCTCTACATGATCAGGAGTTGAGCAACTAAAACAGGTCCGTCTTAGGCCCCTGAAGGTTCTTATCGATATGAAATATTATGTGTCATGAAGCAGGCAGGATTGAGGACCCAGAATGCAGACTCTTAGTGGCAGGACTAACTCAAAACACAGCTTTATTGCTGATTACAAAATACATGAAAGCAAACTGGAAGAAACTAGGAACTAAACAGGCAGGTTTAGTTCCTTAACCTGCAAGAATGAAGTAGATCGGGGCAGACGCAGACATACACACAAGGTCAAACAAAGGAACAAACCACATGGGGGAACATAATCTAACTAACGAGACAGGGGAAGCACAGCTGAACATGACACACACCAGACAAGAGACTGTCAAACTAAAACAGGAAGTATGAGACAGATGAAACACTGGGAAAAAAGTGAGGAGAGAGAGGACAAGAGAGCAAGGAACGAGACGGACACACAGAGACATGACCAGGGAAACAGGCAGATAAACATGAAGACTAGACTGACCTGACAGAGGACACACAGAGGCAAGACCAAGACAAACAGGACACGCAGGCGAGACCAGGGCATGAAAAGGAACCTAATAACTAACTAGACAATCTGAACTACAAATACAGAAATGCAACTAGGAAACAATTCACACAGAGAAAACAAGTATGAATAAACAAGACTCAAACAACCAAAAACACAAAACACTGACTCAACATCCCAGGTACCCTAACAATTATGACAGCATCAAGTTGCCTAGTAACTGCCTACAAGCATTCTTGCACATAAGACCTTTTTAAGAATCTCCTCATTTTAATTTCACAACAGTAACATCTAATTTTGTAAATATTTAATTTACTACATTTTGATGTCTCCTAGTTATGATGTTTAGAACATCATCATTTGATATCATTTGACACTCTTTTTTTTTTTTTTGCCTGTCCCGTTTGGTTCTTTTGCCATCAGAATTATTGTCTAAAGGCAAAGAAAGATGCCCAACAGATTTACTTTACCAAATGGACCATCCCAGCCTTGCCGTAATGGTCTATTTGATTCACCTTTTATTGTTTATTTTATTTATTTTTTATTTTCACTTGCTAGATATGGGACAGACTTGAATCAGGAAAAGAAAAGGGAGAAAGGAAGAGGGGGAAAAAACAGCGGAGAAGAGACAAAAAAAATACATATATCAATCACCTGGATCACCTGTTGAGAAAGAAAAAAGAAAACAAGCAGAAGAAAACGAGAGCAATACAATAAACAACATCACGATGATATATGGGAATATAACTGTAAATACTAAATATTAAACATTATTGTGCAGCACGTAATATCGACAGCGCACAGTGTGCTTTGAGGTAGGAGCCAAAAAGGGTGTCGTTTGTGTGTGTGAGCACCCGTGTGTGCACCTGTGAGCATGAGCGGGCTTGTTTTTAAAAGGTTCCTTCATGTAATGATCCGCTAGAGGGTGTGGGGGGCCACAGCCCCGTCCTCCAGGGCATGAAGCATTTGACACATTAACGTATGACTAAGTTTACTGTTGTTAGTGGGTATATTGTACATTTAATGTCAGATAAAGAACAATATAAATATACTTAGGGAAATGGGATTTCTAGCATGCATTTTTTCAGGTGCATGGTATCGACATGTACTGTGTAGCTAAACCACGGTGTACATAAACTGCAATCAGAGCAAGATAAATTAAAGCTTTAATCTTTAAATATATGGGTGCATATTCAGTTGAAAACAGTCGTGCCAACATTACCAACATTTCATTGTCCACTCAGTGGGGGTGGACAGTGTCTGGCCAATAAACGTAGCAGTACACTTATATTTTTTAGAAAATGGACAACTGTAGTTTAAACATTCAAACATGTTAACATACAACAATCCAATATTTATCTGTTCATTTAAATTAACATCTACCACCCACGTTTCTTTTTTGCTTTTGGCTTAATGTATTTACTGTATGCGTTTGCTACTAGGAAAAAGATATCATCTATTTAAAATGTACACATTCTCCCAGTAGCATTGTCGCAACCAATTAAATGTTGTTTTACACTAATAACTAATATTCTGTTTTAATGTGTTAGGTGGATGTGTATGATGAAGGCTCGTACACCTGTTCCATACAGACTAAGCAGCAGCCCAAGACCTCACAGGTCTACCTCATTGTACAAGGTAAGCTACAAGCTCCTGCTGCAAGGCAGAACGTGAACATATCGAATGAAGTCTTTGTCAAAGAGTTCACAAGCAGCATACACAAATGTTAATGCAAAAAGTCATTTCTATTGCATTTGTTTTGTATGGTGTCTGGAAAGGAAATTACAGGAATACATTTCGTGAGAAACAGCATGCCTTGTTTTACTTCAGCTGAGTCTTAAGTGCACTTAAAAATCTTAAGCAGTTTTTCACTTCAAAGAATGTGAAGTTGTCTCTCTTTAATTGGGACAGCTGCAAAGATGAGAGCAGGAGGTAATCAGGAAGAGTGAGAAACGGTGATATTTTTCCCTATTAAATCTAGGTTTTTTTGAAGTTTTCCTGTGGGTACGAGGCTTTTGGCTCATGAGATTACAGTAGAAACAGTTCTGTGAACTCATCAACTTTTTCTAGCTGAGAGGCCTGATGAAAAGGTATCAGCCTCAATGCACAGTCATGTTAAGCTGTTCATTACTCCCCTTTTTAACTGGAATTGTGAATGGTCCCTGTAGGCGCTGGGAAGCTATATCTGCTGATAGTCAGACCCATACATACATTTCTTAACTAATTTTGGATTTGTGGCTTAAAACTTGACTAATTATCTCAACATGGAACATCTTAGTTCAATTACATGGCACATACTACTTAGATATCAGGAAATGGCTGTGGTGCTTAAAACAAATTAATAACGGCCTTGGATGTGCCAAAATGTCTGAAAACGAAATACCAGATAAAGCAGGAGTAAATTTTGTGCTCCCAGATCACACCACAATCAATTTTTAGGTCAAAGAAACAAGTTGAAACTGAAATGCAGACTTTCAGCTTTACTTCAAGGTGTTTGATAAAAGTATTGCCTTTTGTGTTTAGAAATTGAATTGAAGTCATTTTTATTTATAGTCCTATAAGTTATAGGACAAACTAATATAGCTTCAAATAGAAATATTGTTATTTGGATGAAAATCTGTTGTAGTCAGAGACTGTGTGAAGTTTAAAACCCATGGGTATCACCAGCTGCTGTGCTTCCTCCTTTGTTATGCTCTGCCAGGCCTTTACTGCAGCCACTTTCAGTTGTTCCTTATTTGTGGGTCTCTCTGCATTCAGTTTTGTATTTACTAACTGTAAGGTATTCTCTGTTGAGTTAAAATCAGGTGTGACTGACTTGCCCATTGAAGACTATCACATTTCTCTTCCTCATGAAACTCTTGTGTTGCTTTTGCAATCATTTTTGAATTATTTGGCTGAAAGTGGGCAGCATTGTACAATCTGTCAGGAGTCACAACATCAATGAACACTAGTGGCCCAGTTCTACTACACTCTTTGCATGACCAAAGAGTGTAATCAGTGGTTTGCATGTTGTTGTAAACCCTCATTGTTTCCATTCATGAAGGTGTCTCTTGATTGTAGACCTTGACCTTGATACACCTACTTCCTGTATATATCCTCACTTGGATTGTTTTAGGAAGCTATTTTTCTTAAGCATTGAAATAATTTTGTCATCATGCACTTGAACTGGCCAGTGCATTCATTCTCTTTAAGAATGCAGATTCTTGATTTGGCCACTCCTAAAGTTTGTGTTATTTCTCTGATGGGTTTACTTTGATGTCCTAACTCGCTTGTACTAACATGTCTTTGGGCGTCATATTTAAAATTACAGTGAAAAGCGGTAAATGATATTTCGTCTGCACTAGCTCTGTTATGGTAAATGGTAAATGGCCTGTATTTATATAGCGCTTTACTAGTCCCTAAGGACCCCAAAGCGCTTTACATATCCAGTCATCCACCCATTCACGCACACATTCATACACTGGTGATGGCAAGCTACATTGTAGCCACAGCCACCCTGGGGCGCACTGACAGAGGCGAAATTATTGTCATACAGTACCAGCAAACCTCTGATAAGACAGAATATTAGCTTACGTCACATCAAAATACTGATTTTCTTTCTAAAGTTACCACTTAACGCTCGAATTCAGGTATTTATTATGATTTTCTTTGTCTTATTATGCCCTTAAGCATTTGCAACATAATTTCTCTGCCTGTAGTTTTTCCTGCCTATTTATATCTACACACTGTCTCAGAAAAGCAAATCACAGCCAGGAAATAATCTTGGCGATAACAGTCTCATTAAAACATTTATTCTGATGTTCACACTTGGCTGTTATACAGCAGCTGCACACTTTTTCAGGGTAACGGTTGGCCTTTTCAAGCCTTGTTCAAATCCCTAAGTTGTTTTTCTTTTATGAATCGCTTATAAAACAATAAGAGCAATACAAACACGCAGTTGTGCATCAAGGACAAAAAGGAGAGTTTATTATCGATCAAAATGCCAAGTCTCTCAGTTTGGCTTTTTCAAAGCCACAGCTGGTTGACAGAATTTTCTTGTTTAAAGAGTCTATTTTATACATGCATGCAGAATGAGTTCTCACAATTGGATTTCCTATGGTGTCTTTGTTTCCTTGCATGAATGTGGGGGTTGAATTTTTGCATGCTTTTTCATCAAGCTGTGAATGTCTGAGCTTCTCAACTGTCCGTCACCCAAAAAGTGACAGTAAATGTTGATGGAGTGTTGTATACAGCATGTACTTGGATACATTTAATGTTGTAGCTCAATCCATTTCACCAGTGCTGGAGTTTTTTAACTGCCCTCTCCATTTTGAACCTCCTTACTGTGAGATGTGAAACCCAACCGCAGATAACTGCTACAGGCTGTCAGTGGATGAAATGCATCACAGTGCAATTTCACCACACACAATAGTCTACTGAAGAACTTATCATCCAGCTATGAACTGAAGATATCATCCATTAACAGCATTTTTAAAGGTCAATATCTGAATTGATGTTGCTCTTCTGGGATCCATGGCAGCAAATTGCCTCTCCTTCCCAGAATCCATCGTGTCCGATTATTCACTGCTTGATCATTGGAACGTCCTGTGCCGGCTTCCAGAGTTTCTCATTCATCACAGCTAATGCGACGGTTATGGCCAAACATTGATTCTGTTGCTTTCATTACCTGCTATTTTGTCCTTTGCTCTGCTTCTCAAAGTCCCATTCAGTGTTGATGCCATTGTTATGCTTATCTATTGTATTTCCCTGCTGTGTGGGTGTAATCTTCTCCTTTAAGTTCACTTCAGCATCTTTCATCTAAATTGCCTTGCAGTGCTGAAGGCGTAGGTTTCTGGCAATTACAGTGAATGTGTTACTGTGAACAAATACTGGGACTTTTTATTTACTTTGAAATTTTGATCAAACATTGCCCCTGGTTACAGACCCAAGAGCAGGTTCACATAACGAAAGCTGACAATTTTCTGCTAGCAGGGACAGGGTCGTAATTGGAAAACAAATGATCAGACAAAGTAAATTTGCCGTGGATGGAAAAGTGGCAGACTCGCGGGGCTCAGACAAGCGATACCAGGAAGCAGGGTCACTGCACATGACAAGAATCGTAATATAAGGGCGGGCTTTTCACCCCAATCCAATTAGATTTTTATGAAACACAGAATTTGGTTGATCGGCCAGTCTAAGACAGTGCTTTTATGAATTGAAGGTTTAATGGCTCCTTAAGCTACTTAAAAGAGTGTGTATGTGATTGATTGTAGATTTGCAGTGTTATTTGATCTCCTGCTAGATGTGTAAGTTTGCTCATTTAGAAGAAATCGAACAGTCTCTAATATTTTAGAGAGAGAGGATATCAACAAAAATCCAGAAAAAAAATCACATTAGATAAAAGTTATGAACTGATTTGCATGTCATTGAGTGAAATAAGTATTTGATGCCCCGTCTTCCACTCCAACCTCTCCACCATCATGGGCAAGACCAAAGAGCTATCAAAGACTGCCAGGGACAAGATTGTAGACCTGCACAAGGTTGGAATGGGTTACAAGACCATCACAAGAACACTGTTCCTACAGTCAAGCACAGAGGTGGAAACATGATGCTTTAGAGATGTTTTTCTGCTAAGGGCAGGATGAGTTCACTGCATTGAGGGACCATGTATCATAAGATCTTAGACAAGGACATCTTTCTCTAGACCAGAACACTAAAGATATGTTATGGATGGGCTTTCTAGCTTGACAATGACCCACAACATTACAGCAAGGCACAAAAGGAGTGGCTAAAAAAGAAACACATGAAGGTCATGGAGTGCCCTCCAAGGTCAATCGCATAGAAAATCTGTGGACTGAGCTGAAGCTTTAAATTGCCAAACAGAAGCCAAGAAATATGAAAGATTTACAGAGTTTCTGTAAAGATGAGAGTGGACCAAAATCCCTCCTGAGATGTGAGCAAACGAGGTGGCCAACTACAAGAAACATCCTACTGTGTTTGCCAACAAGTTGTGTTTTTCTAGGTGATATATATTATATTTTATTCAATGACATGCAAATCAATTCATAACTTTTACGTGTTTTCCTTGGGGTTTTTTGTCTGTATCCATTAAAATTAAGATATTTAATTATTTCTCTCACTGTACAAATGCAGATTAATATTAGATTCAGAATATCTTACATTTCATATAAAATCCTACCTGATTCACTTTCTCATAGCCTGTGGAGAGGTTTTATCTAATCATTTACACTTGACAGACTTTGAACTTGAACCTTATATAACTAATATTAAATTACATCTGCTCTGCGCTGCTGGGGTTTTTTGGAGTGTGCATAGAGTTCAAGCGAAATTCTCCACCACTTCAACAACTAAGAAAAAGTACACTTTAGATGTATATAGATCTAATAGCAATCCCTGAGGGAAAACAGTTTCTAGGGTTTTTTAAAGATGAAATCCACAATGTAAAAAAAAAAACCCTGTCCGAAGCCCATAGAAACTGCTTACTTCATTAATAATACCAATTAATAACTAAAGGATGGAAGGAGGCAGTATATTTTCTCTGATGGCAAATATTTGACATTCTAAAAAGTTTCACAACTTTTTCCTTTAACACTGTCATAACAAATAATCTAAGGTTTTCTTCAATCTTACAGGAATAA